CGGCAGCGGACGGTGAGCGGGAAGGAGTACGATCAACGGCCAGGAAGTGGACGCTCCCTCCTCCTGTAGTAAGGCTCACGTGACAAGCGTGCAGAGATCCTTAGAAAAAGGACGTAACCGCAGCCTGCACTGTGGACCGCCCGGATGGCTCCTCAATGCCTGGCTAGCAAACGACAGTGCCTCTATTCAGGGGGGTCTCCCGCAGTTGTGAAAAAGGATGAGGCAATGTCCAAAACAAGTGTTCAGGGAACAGGCAAGAAATTAAGTGTTACAGGGATGATCGTAAGAGGACACTCACTTTCTACACTGTACATTCCTGTGACGTTTGCATTATTCTTGGAAGCAGAAACAAAGCTTCCAGGAGTGTCTTTTTCTCCCTTAAAGTGATATCCTTAGGGCTCACACTTGTAAATGTTTTACATGAATTCCCAAGAATGAACATCAAGCTGGGGAACTGGAGAGTGTCTGTAAGCCAGCACCGCAGACAGCACGGGGCGATGCCAGAGTGGACGGAGCCAGGACTGGGGGCGGAAGTGGGGAACCCTGCCGCAGCTTTTACCCTCCAAGGCGCAGGGGTGTCCCCAGGCTTGCAGAGCCCCCTGCTAAGTAGTCCCAGCATCTCCCTCTACCCCAGGAACCCGCCTCTTGCCTGCACCAGCCTGTGTCCACCAGCTGGTCTGCTGGCCTGTGTGTGCAGACCTGGCCCCAGGCTGGAGCTTCCGAGCCCCTGGGCCCAGCCACAACCACAGGGACAGGGTCCCAGCCTGGCCAACCCTTCCAGGCTCCCCCAGGCTCCCTCGTCGGGGAGCTCACGGTATTCCACCACCAAAGTGCCTGCTGGGGCCACTGGACTCCCTCCTATGTACCGTCTGTGTGTGTGCCTGGGCTTCTCAACTGGCCCACTGCGCTCTAGGCGCACGGCTGAAGGGCCAGGAGGACACCCCATTTCTCCCACCTTCAGTCAACACATAGCCAGCGGCCTTGCAAGGTGGACGTGCGCTTAATGGTCAGAGCCCCGACCAGGGCCCTGACGGTCCCTTTCAGAGGGATGATTTCTTCGCAAGCCTTGCTTATTAATAGTCTACTAGGTCCCACCCCTCCAGACGGGGGCACCTGTGCTACCCTCGGGCATGCTCCAGCCTCACTCCTGACGGAGACTGAGTTAATTCTAACGGGATGTGCACAGGGGACAGACAGGGGTGTGAGGCGCTGGAGGGGAACAGCGGGCTTGGAAACACAGGTGCCTTCACCGTCTAACAAAGGCCTGCAAGTGTTACCTGACTGTGACGGTGGAAACTGCGTCAAAGAGGATGTTCTTTCTCGCTTGACGGGAGGGCAGTAGTTTCCATCTTCTCGGTCAGAATCTACAGAAAATGAGGAGGAGAAGAAAGATCGGCTGCTTCCGCTTTTACAGCCCAAACTGGTGAAACATCTGAGAGATTTCCTCACCTTCTCCACCTTCGGGGCTGGAGCCTCCGGCCGACCTCTGAAACAAGAACACATGTAAGGGCGGTCAGAGAGGGCCGCGGGGCCCAGGGCCCGGCAGCTCCTGACTTCTGCCACAAACGGATCCCGAAATGTAGCGCTGAGGGCGCGTGGCCTGGGCTCAGTCACCCGGGTCACAGACAGGCTTTCAACCCAATGCTCAAAAATCCCCCACGAACGTCACGCCTCTGCCTCACCAGGCCTTGTGCCAAGGAATCCTCTTAATGGCTGGGAACGCGTTCCCAGCACAGGATCAGTTTCCGTGTTTCTTCACCGGACACAGCTAACTGGCGTTCCCCCAACCCAGCCCCCCAATTCAAACACTGAAACTGGATCTGGCCAAGTTCACTCTGCCAAGAGCTGGAAAGCGACCCTCTCTGCACCCTGAAGGGCTGCAGGACCGCTGACACTGGCTGCGTGACACTGGGTCATGGTGGTTCCCATTCCTGGCCCTGGCACATCCCACGGTGTGGAACTGTTTCAAGGTGGCCTGTTATTTCCAGAGCAGCCGAGAGCTTTGAAGCCTTGGGCCAAAGTGTTCAGAAGAGAATCCCCAGGTACAACAGCTCAGACCTTAGAACCCACCGAACAATCATCAGCTGAGAGAGAAAGGTGGCTGAAGAATCTCCTCCTTGACAACCTCTGATTTTAGAATGCGAACGGGCAATTAAGAAGCTTATAATGAGCCCCCGCCCCATGTGGGATAATACACAGTCCCTGCTGCACATCCCCTCTCAGGGACTTGAGATTCTTCAGAACTAAGCAGCCAAAAGCAAACTTTGAAGGGTGAACATCACCACCCCCGCCCCCCCGGTCACCGGTTTAAGAGCAAGCAGGGGAGCCAATTTTCTTATTTTCAGAAAAGCCCCTCAGGAGTCAAGTTTAGCCAAAGGGGGACCACCTGCCTTGAGGAGCTGTTAGGGATTAAATGAGATGATGCATGGGAAATTGCTTGGCAAGCTGCAAAGCCGCGTGTAAAAGCAGTAACTGCTGTAAATAAGAAAACTGCAGACGAGGAGCTGGGGGACCTCCTAGAGCTGGGGCGGCACTCTCCCTGTAAAGGGCCAGAAAGTATTTTCAGCTTCACAGGCCCCATTCGGGCCACACGTTGTATATTCTTTATTTTGTTTTGACAATCCTTTAAAACACGATCTTAGCTTGCAGGCTGGACAAAAACAGGCGGGGGGCAGAGTTTGCAGTCCCATCCTAAAGGACAGTGAGAGCCTGGACGGTAAGAAAAGGACCCCAACCTGGCCTTCCCCCGCAACCCCCACATCAGAGACCATCCGCCAAAATGCCTGGGAAACGCGAAACCCTCCTAACACCACAGGGGCTCAATACGTGAACATATCATGGGGCCCAAAATGAAATAAAATACCCAAGGGTCCAGCAGGCTGGCTCTACTGAGCACAAAACAGTGGCCAGGGCTCGAGCTCAGAGCGTGAAGGCACTAAATCCTGCCTCGAAGGCTTGCCAAGCCTAGTCAGCTTCTCCTAGCTCTGCATGTCCTAAACCTGAAACGCGGGGCAAATTACTTCACCGGCCCAAGCTTCCACTTCCTCGCCTGGAAAATGGCGGGGCCAGCACTTCCTCCGTAGGGATGGAGGTGCAGGGGGTCAGTGGGCTAAGCAGGCAGCGCCGCGTGGCTCACACCTGGACAGGACACGCTCTCCCAGCCAGCTCACCCCCTCGGGATGTCATACTTCGGGGCAGTGCTGGGGGAGGTGGGAGAGCCAGGTGAGGGGCCAGGGGGCCCTTGGGGGAGCGGAGAAGAGGGTCTTAGCATGGGGGGGCCCAGAGAGGCGCTCTTGCGGTGCTGCCGTTCTACGGGGCCCAGGCTGGCATCTGACAGAACGGAGCTGTGTCACCGGAACGTCGGGTGTTCCTCTCAGATGCTCCCCTGCCCTGGGTGACACCATGAAGGTGCAGGCTCCAGGCCCCTCCCTCCTACTCCTCCACAGCAGGCCCGGCCATCCCAGCCCAGCCCTCGCCCTCAAGTCCCATGCTCGACTCCCCCCGCCCACCTTTTCACTCAACAAGCATCTCAACTCTCCCAAACCTGCCCATGGCAGCCTCTGGGGCCTGTGGGATCCGCTGCTTCCTGAAATGACTTCTGGCACCTGGAAAATGGCCAGCCCCATTCCTCTGTAGACACTGCTCCCTCACCCACGGACACCGTCCCTTCCCTTGCCCCCCAGACGAAAACCCCTCAGGCCATGGCCTCACCGCTCCCTGCACTTCTCCATGGCTCTCACTCCAGTTGTGGGTCGGTGTCAGGGTCCCCCTCTAGCCTCTAAGTTCCAGGAGGGTATGGCCCCAGCACACAGCGGGGCTTGACTGGCCTGTGTTCAGTGGAAGCAGCCGGATTCCAGGCACTCCATGGGCCATGGAGAAGCCGCCAAGGCACGTGTCCCCCAAGTTACCCGAAAGCTGTGAGGCCAGAGCGTC